ACTGTGAAGGTCAGGCTGAGCTCCAACTCACTGTGTAGCACAGGCTGGCCTCAGTCTTCCCAGTGCTGGAAGTATAGGCATATAGGCCTGGGTTACCATGCCCTGCATTGAATTTTTGATCTATGGAAGTGGGGGTACTCTGGGGTGTTTTTTCCAGAGTACTAATGCATTTCACCATGTGGTGAAGGGCTCTATGCACTTTTGGCAGCCATGGAGAATCTGGAGCTCTATACTTTCTGAATCCCGCCCTATTTAATTCTGTTAGTATGTCTCTTAGAAGTCCTAATTTAGAGAGTTATGCTTTAATTATAATCTTGGGGCCAAATATGAAGACAACAGTTTTTCTTTTTGGTCTGGCACTAGTGATTGGATCCAGATTCTTTGCACTGAACTGCATTCATAACCATATTTTATTTTGAGGCAGAGTCTTGCTGAGTTGCTCATACTGCGTTGCCCATATGGCACGAACTTTTAGCCCTCTTTTATCTAGCTCTCAGAGTGGGATAGGCCACCACTCCAGACTCATGATATTTTTGATGCGCAAAACAGGTTATTGAATGGTTCTGATCTTGGTAAAATTTTTCTGAGAACTTTGATGATACTCCACTAAAGTATTTGTTTTTCTTCAGTACAGCCAAGCACAGTGCAAGTGCCACATGTGAAAATAATTTGTGGTTGGATTTGTCTCATTTAAAACTTTATTATTACAGAGAAGTTTTAGGTTTACAAGAAAATTGAGAAAAAGAAGCTATAGCCTTTCATCTCCCTCTACCTTCACAAGTGTGATCCTCTTCTGTTATCATGACACATATCACTCGAAGTCTGTGTTAAGGTTCACTTTGTGTTCTACATTCTGTGGGTTTGAACAAACACGTAATGTTAGGTGCCCCTCATTATGGTATCATACACAGTAGTATTACTGCCAGTGTCTGTGTTCTGCCCAGTCACTTCTTCCTGCTTCCCAACTCCTCATAACTTGGTGCTTATTTTATTAGCTATATGGTGTTGCCTTTTCCACAGTGTCACATACTTAGAATCATACAGCATGTAGCCATTCTAGACAGGCCTCTTATACTTATGGATGTGCATTTAAAGTTCTTTCATGTCTTCATACCTTGATAGACATTTCCTTTCAAAAGAAATGTATATATACCACAGTTCATCCATTCATTGGCTGGAGATATAGCGCAGTGGCACAGCACCTAACTGGCAAGCACAAGGTCTTGAGTTTGATTCCCAGTAATCACCACTCCCCCCCCCCAAAAAAAAAAAAAGAATACATCTATTCACTTAAGAACATTTTAGCTACTTTCAGGCTTTGGGCAAGTATAAAAACTGCTATACATATCTGTGTGCAGGATTTTGTGTAAACTTATTTCCAACTTGCAGCTCTTTGGGGTAAATACCCAGGAGCATGATGACTGGTCCACATGGTAAGAGTATGCTTAGTTTTCTAAGAAACTGCCAGTCTTCCAAAATGGTAGTACCATTTTGTATTCCTACAAGCACTGAGTGGGAGTTTCTGTTGCTCAAGGTGTAGAGTGGTGCCTCATTTTGAATGTACACTTTCTGATAACATCTGAAATGCTGGTTTTTTAATATGCTTATTTGGCATCTTAAATTGGCTTTGATGAGGTACCTTTGAAAACCTTTGACTCGTTTTTTAAAATCAGGTTGTTTTCTGATTGTAGAATCCTTAATAGTTCTTTGTAAAATCTAGTGAAAATTCCTTTATTATGTCTTTTGAAGCTATTTTCTCAGTTTGCAGGTGCATCTTTTCATTCTCTTAATAGTATCTTTGCAGAGCAGAAAATTCTGATGAAGTATTTCTTCAAGTGTTGTGCTGTTGCTGTCACATCTGTAAAGTAACAGCCTAATTTAAAGTTATGTAGATTGCTCTCTACAGTAGCCATTGAGTTTCATACATTTAATTTTTAGTTTAATTCTCTGATCCATCCTGAATTAATGTTGTGAAGCGTCTTCCGCTGGTTCTGGTATGTTCTCAGCCACTGGCTCTGAACTTATTCTCTGCCTCATTCAGTATATGGAACTCATGTCTGACTTTCTTATTAGATCCTGTGTCTCTTCCTGATTAGTTACTTTTGTCTCCATTCTATATTCTTGGGGAACTTCTTTTATCCTATGCTATAGTTTGAATATTTGTCTTCTCAAAACTCATGCTGAAAGTTAATTGATGTTTAACAGTATTAAGAGTTGGGGCAGGCTTTCTTTACTTCTTCCATCTCCAGGCAGCTTGGCAGCTGCGGTTTACAGTGTAGTTATGACCAAGTCCAAGAACCATACCACAAATGGCACAGAAATGCCATCAAGAAACCTCAGTCACAAATGTGAATCTCTAAAGGGGGTAGATCCCAAGTTCCTTAGGAACATGCATTTTGCCAAGAAGCACAACAAGAAGGGCTTCAAGAAGATGCAAGCAAACAATGCCAAGGGGCTGAGGCTATCAAGGCCCTGGTCAAGCCCAAGAAGGTCAAACCAAGATCATTGCAAACGGGAGTAAACTGCAGGCTTGCTTGACTTGCCTATATTGCGCACCCCAAGCTTGGGAAGCATCTCTGTGCCCACATTGCTATGGGTCGCAGGCCTTGCTAGCCAAAGGCCCAGGCTCCAGCTTCTGCTCCAACTAGGGCCCAGGCTGCAGCTTCTGCCCAGCCAAGACCCAGGCCCCAGCTTCTGCTGCAGCCCAGGCTTCCAAAGGTGCCCAGGCCCCCCGTGAAGGCTCCAGTGTAAAAGCCTCTTATCTGCTGATGTAAAAACAGAAGGACTTTGTCTTCTCAAAACTCATGCTGAAAGTTAATTGATGTTTAACAGTATTAAGAGTTGGGACAGGCATGTGACCCCCTGGGGTGCCATCTCTGGCAGGCTGGTGTCCTGTGCATTTTGTACAAATAAACCTGAGGCGGGGGGTGGGGGAACAAACCAGTATTAAGAGTTGGAATTCTAGTGTGGCACGTGCTTATACTCTCAGCTACTCAAAGAGACTGAGGCAGGAGGATCACAAAGTTGAGGCCAGATGTGCAATTGGTTGAAAGACTTTTTCAAAATAACAGTTGGGTGTTGTAGTTGATATATTGTGTCAACTTGAGAAGGTTAGAAGTTGAACTGAGGGACTCTGGGGCCGGATGGTTGGCTCAGTGGAATAAGCACTTCTCTGGCAAGTGCAAGGGCCTGAGTTCAATCCCCGTTTCTGCCAAAAAAAAGAGGCCAGGGTCCATATTTTGTAAACACCCTGAGCCAGTGCAAGAGGAGGGGAGGGAGATGATGTGAGTGCAACACCTGCCGTAGAAGGTGTAGCCTGCTCACAGTATAAGGGAGGAAAAGAGGCTGGCTCTTCCCCTGCTTGTTCTTACTGCTTTTGCTGTATTCAGCTGCTTTGAAATATTGCCCTGTGCCATGCCACTCTGCCTTGGAGCCACCTGATTACAGACTGAAACCTCCACAAACTGTGAGCTAACTAAATGTTTCCTCCTTTAATTTTAATTGTTGGGCATTTTTTCTTGGCAACAAGAGAAAATGATACCCTATTTCAAATAACATGGAGCTGGGCATGATGATGGATGCACGAAATTCCAGCACTCAGGAGGATGAAGCAGGAGGGTTGTGAACGTGAAACCAGCCTGGGCTGTGTAACAGCTTCCAGGCTAGCCTGTGTTACATTGTGAGATCTTGCGTTAAATGATGAAAAAAGGAAGAAAGCAGAGTAGAAGGGGACACCTCAGTCACAGAGTGCCCCCTTCGGTTCAGTGCTTAGCATTGGAAAAGAGGAGATAAGGGTAAGCAAGGGAAGGTAGGGGGAGGGGAGGAAGAAGGGAAAAGAAAAAAGAAAGGCATATTTGGTCTTCACTTCAGAACTATGAGCAATAATTTCTTGTTCTATATAAATTAGTTGTCAGGTATTCTGTTATAGTAGCACAAAACAAGCTAAGCCTATTTTGGGTTCAGGAATTTTCTCTTCAACTATGTCCAGTGTTCTGTTGAACATAACTGCTAAGTTCATAAATTAATGGGCTTTTTTTTTTCCTAGAATTCCATTTTTAGCTCTTAAATTTGCTAAGTACTTTTTTTCCCCAGTGCTGAAAGTCAAGCCCAGTTCTTGCTAGATACATGCTAGACAGACATTACCACTGAGCTATAATCTCAGCCTATAAATCTATACTCTTTAAAGTTTCTAGTTTTAGGAGCATTTCTTCTGTATCTTAAAACATAGTAAGTATATTCACTTTGAAGCCTGTTTTGAGTAATTCTAGAATTTGAAGTCTTGGAGGATCTGTTTCAGTGTGGTTGTTGTGTTTGTTGTTTGTTCCTTGCTCATGGTGTTTTTTTTTCCCCTTAGAATATAGCTATCTTTGACTAGGTACTGGTTACTATATTTTTAAATGTAGCTTAAAAACTACATTTAAGTATGAGGTCAGTTACTCAGCATGGTGGCACATACCTGAAATCCCAGTGCTGAGGAGACTGAAAACAGGAGGATCACTATCCTAGCTGAGTAGTGAGACCCTGTACCAAATACATAAAAAATAAAAATTATATGAGGTCAGTTTTAGACCTAGATGATGCATTTTCAAAAGTGATTTTAGATTTTGCTACTAGGGATCTGCTAGTATGGGGCCACTGTAATGCAAATTTATGGCATAAGGTTGTTCTGGATTACCTTGATGTTATGAAACTGAGCCCATACCTAGATTTATGTAACCTTTTGGGTATATCATTGTTAAGAGTTTAGCTGAGCAGCCAGAAAACTATTTTGTGAGAAAAGCAACTTTGAATGTTGGTCTTAACCCTTTTGAACTCTTACTTTATTAAATTTTTGTCTTAATTACCTTTTAATCCCTTTAAGATTTTTCATTTCATTAATATTTTATAATTTTTCATTACAGAGTTCATCTTATATTTGTGGCCTGCCACTAATAAGAGGCAGAAATCTTTCCCTTTAATTTGAATTTGAATGTGTCTTTATGTCTGTTTGTGTTCCGTAGGTTCTACATGAAACGTTTCCTCAACATACATTCCTCACGAATGGTCTCATTCAAGGTGTAAAGGTAAGAACAATTTTTGTGTAGTTCATGTTGCATCAAAGTGAGAATCTTTAGTAGTTTAACTGGAGATTTAAATCTTAATGAAATAGTTGCTATTTGCTTTAGAGACTTAAGTCTGAGTTTTTATTGGGGTTATCGAGATCAGAATAAAATATAATACAAATGCCTAAGACATAGACTGGTTTACTGTTAAAAGCAGTGTGAATACTTTACAGGCCTTACTTCATTTTAATATGTACACAGCAGTTATGAAAACTTTGACCTACTCTGCCTATCAACAGAATGAGGATAAATGCTGCTGTCTTTTTAGGTAGACCTTTTTTTTTTTTTTCCTTAGGTAGACTTTGAGACTGAGAAAGAAGAAAGCATCAGAAATCAATTGGATATTGACTTATCTTTTTGGCCAAACTAATGCTAAATCTATGAATTTCTGAATTTTTTATTTTTTATTTTTTTAATGAATTTAGGACAGGGTATACAGGGTCTCACTATGTAGATTGGACTCATAGTGATCCTCCTGTTTTCAGCCTCCCAAGCACTGGGATTATAGGCCACATGCCACCACGCCCAGTCTCAAAATTATTTATTTATTTA